GACAAAGCTACCAGCTTCATGAGGGGCTTTTCTCCTCCCTGCGACTGAGACCAAGCAGACGTGAGCCTCCAGCTGGCACCTCCATGAACTCAGGGGACCAATGGCTAGAAAAGAAGCATCCTCTCGGGCATACCACCCCATGCATAAAAACCACCCAGCCAGCCCAACAAATACCAAAGCATCAGTGTCATGAAGATCGCATTCTCTATTACACACAAAATGCGGTTTGGAATTAACGGCAAGTTTTTTGTTTTGCTTTGCTTTGTTTTGTTTTTTGAGACAGGGTCTGTCACCCAGGCTGGAGTGCATGGAGTGCAGTGGCACAAACACAGCTCACTGCAGCCTCCACCTCCTGGGGTCAAGGGATGCTCCCACCTCAACCTCCCAGGCAGCTGGGCCCACAGCATGCGCCACAATCTCAGCTCCTTTTTTATTTTTTTTGCACAGCCAAGGTCTCGCTATGTTGCCCAGGCTGGTCTTACCCTCCTGGGATCAACTGATCCTCTCACCTCAGCCTCCCAAAGTGCTGGGATTACAGGAATGAGCCACTGTGCCTGGCCCATAATGGATTTTTCAAACTAAGACGAAAAAGTTTACACCTAGAATCTCCCCTGAGCTAACCAGTGAATCAGTTAGAGGACAAACTCATCCCGAGGGTCATGGGCAGGACTGCCATGTCATGAGTAACCTGAGGAGAACCAGACTTTCCAGAAGGCCTGGAGGGAGGACCTGCAGCACACCATGCAGCAAGCCTCAAGGCACAGGATGCGAGAGCCAAAATTCTCACAAAGCCGCTACTGAAAGCTTTGTGCAGAAGGACAAAGGTTAAATAAATTTATCAAGTACACATCTATCCTCAAGACGTTACTTAAGGGTTGCAGCGTATCAGTTAGACTGAGACACGGCCCCATCAGCCTCAACCTGCTGGTGCTCAGCCTGCAGACTCTAAGGCCTCCTGACTGTCCTCTTCCTCCCTCTTCTCCTGCCAATGCTGCCTCCTGAGGATCTGTGGCTACCTGCTCTGCCCATTGCGCTGCAGGCCCCTTGACCCAGAGCTTGCCTGCACCCTCCTCTCAGCCTCCAGGGCCTGCAGTCTCTCTCCATCCTCGCCCCACCTAAGGACTGCTTCCTCA